AAAAGTAATAACAAATGAGTTATCATCACACGTAAGAAGCCCTCAAGCTTAACTAGAAAAATACTAACAAATGAGTTGTCAGTCACTCGCACAAGTTAACTGCTCACGCATCGCTTCACTCGCCGTTTTAAGATCACAAAATCGTGGGTTGTATCATCACAACCTACACCCACAACGCACATACATACAACACAGTGACACCATGCACAGACATCAATAGGACACCACCAACACACACTCGGGCTCGTCTCACCCCACCACACCGCTTAGCCAACTCACCGCACCCTCTCACATGAGCAATTGTTGGATTTGACGAAGACATATGTATGTGGGTCCGTAGGCAGAGCCAGGCCTAGAATCCTCGATAATTTTCAAAGATATCTCGGACGTTCTGGCAGTCGCATTCTCACGGAGCCCACGCATGAAAAATCATCAAGTTAAGCTCAACATACTAAGTTTTTTAATATACAAATCACTTAAAATAGAAAAAGTATACATACCGATATCTTAATTGATTGAATCGTAGAATCGACCGTATTAAAATGTTCTTAATGGCCTTTTCCATATTAAGCAGCGTCTCATAGTATTAATCTGTCGAATTGATAAATCAATAGTATTAAAATGTTCGAAGCCATTTTTCATTTTAAAAAGTATCTCGGATTTTAATCTGCTGAAATCAATTTTTAATGCTGTTGAAGCAGAGAGATATCATTTTCATTTTTCATTTTAAAGTATCTCATATTTTTAATCTCGTTGAAATAAATTTTAATCTGTTGAAACGAGAGAGCTACCATTTTCTTCTAAACTGCCTCAATCCATTAAAAGCTCGGAATTAACCGATTGAAAGAGTTTTAAATAAAATCAATCGATTAAAACATCATTTTAAATCGATTAAAAATGTCGATTTCTCTCTTATATCTACGCAAGCATCAAGTTTGTTTCTCTTTCAAAAACACAAATTGGAAATCGATTAAAAGCAATCTTGGAGCTCTCATATTCGTGTGTTTTTCTGCGTCATTCATACACACTTCATACCATAAGACGTTTTCTTTGATCAAGCACTATTGTTGAAAGACGCAAGAAAGTCTCGTAGTTAGAAAAATTGCTCATGGACTTCCATGCTGTAAAAGTTACGGTCAGGCCTGTTCTGTCTCTTATCACATTGTATCGAATTCTAACAGTGTAGATCGAGTTTGAATTTTGCATCGGTTACAGTCAATTGGGATTTGGTCGTCAGGTGGTTTTTTTCAAGAGTCTATGTTATGGTGTTGTAAGGTAGATCTTGGGGTAGATTGGTGTGTATCTCTTTTGGTTTGTATTTCTCACTTGGTATTAAGTGGAACTCTGGCCAGCCTTGTCAAAAGCTCGATGTAGCTCTTCGGGAAGAGCTGAACCAGAGTATAAACCCCTTGTGTTGTATTTGCTTGCTTTTATCTCTTTTCACTTCTGGTTTATATTCTCGCCTTGTTTGGAAAGCACATCGCCTAATAAAAGATTGAATAAAAGATTAATCATTTCTTCCACAAAGAAATAGTGTTTTTCGAAAAAGATTTCTAAAAGTTCAATTCACCCCCCTCTTCAACTCAACCATTGATACTTGCACCACATGCATTGCTTCAAAGCACCATCACACTTTGACTGCAAATTCGAAGAGGCATTTCAAACACAGAACGTGTTCTCACATCGCTGCAGCGGACCAGTCTTCAAAGAATGCGTTCTCACACGCTGCGCGAAGACCATTTCGCGCGAACGTGTTCTCACACACGCCCGTATATTATTTCGCAGAACGCTAGGTAGAACACCATTTTCGCGGTGAACGTGCCTCTCACATCGCTACGAGAAGATTGTTTTAGAGAATGTTACTGCAAAAATCGCACCGTGCGAGAACGTTACGGACCCAACTACCAAGTCTTCCATAAGCGCTACGAGACTTTCTCCTATAAATAGAGACCACTTCACACTCTTCACAACACACCCCTCTCTCATCTCCCCATCTCGATCTTATTTCTATGATCTGGGTTAATTTACTCGTTTGAGAGTTTCTTGCTAGTTTGCTGAGATCCTCGGAGCACTTCGGAGAAGTTCTGCTGTACCACAGGGGACTTGCACAACACATCGCGGACAAGCCCTTAAGGGCAGAGGGATAGACCACGCCTCGGGAATACACCACGTAACATGTCTCTGCCGACTTTTACAACACCCATTAAGGACTCGACAGTGACGGTACGAACATCAACAACTTCTCTTCAACAATTTTAGAATCATTGGATAAAGTGAAAGAGAAGCGTGAAGTGCTACAGGGGATCAACGCCAAGTCTTCGACTATGATTCATGTGTGTTACTATGCGATAATCAATTCATATATGTTATTATATGATTATGATTCATGTATGCAATTACGCGAGAATAGAGAATCTAAACGTGAAGAGTAGTTTTATAGAATTAGTAACGTATAAAAACTACAAATTAAAATACATGTGAGTATCGCAACTCATACTTTATTAGATTTATGATTTTTCTCTTATGATAATTTTTAAATTATGTTTTTTCCTAAAATTGAATAAAGGAATAATCCATAGCTAGGTGTGAATGACAGCGATTGACATGTGAATGACCCTGTAGTTTTAATTGAAAAGAAAATTACGTGATTGGGTTAAAGGTGAATCATATGTGAAATTGATTACTGCATGTTATAATTATGAAGAAAGAAAGGTAAACTTTTAGATCAAATGTTATCGGTATACATCATGCGACTTGTCCATAGAGCATCGCGTGTCAAACACAGGTTCCTTTTTCGGATTTATTACACCAATGAAACGAGGAAAAATGAATTATGCTTCATGAGTATATGAATTATGCATGAGTATTAATGTTGTGAGAGATTTGTTTTGGTAGTGAACAGTTAACGGTTACGTGTGCATGACTTAGATCTACATATTATTTTATTTTGTACATACGTGTAGTGATATTATTTGTCGCACATTATTTTGTACATACGTGTAAGAATATTATTTTGTCCACATATTATTTTGTACATACCTATAAGAAAGGGATTGAGATATTCTGTATGTAAAGCAATGGATTACTAACACTACTATACGTTCAAGAAGGAAAATTGTTTTTGTGGAAAGTAAGGTCATCATGCACCTCGGTACAGATGTGGAATGAGAAAGCCACAATCCTCCTAAGGAAAATTTAGCAAAGGAGAAGATACAATTATTGCGGTCGTTTCCCATATAAACCTTGTGACAAATGTGAACAAATGAGTGGTAGACTACGAGTGCTACCGGGACATGCTGTGCAAACAGAAGTGCTTTTACCTCTACACTAGTGTGGGGATGGAGAAAAACATATTTATCTCGGTGATTCCGGGAACAACTCCTGTCTTAGGAAAAGAAAAGTTCTTCTAAAACTCACATCTAGAAAGACTCGACCTTGAATGATGTGCTACATGTGCATTAATCGAGCTAATCTAATCTATGTAGCATTGTTAGGAAAAGTTGGGGTTAAAGTGTCATTTGAATGCGATAAGATTGTTAACAATCTTATCAGATTCAAATGACACTTTAACCCCAACTTTTCCTAACAGTGCTACATATATTAGATTAGCTCTGATTAATGGCACATGTAGCACATCATTCAAGGTCAGAGTCTTTCTAGATGTGAGTTTTAGAAGAACTTTTCTTTTTCCTAAGACAGGAGTTGTCCTGGAATCACCGAGATAAATATGTTTTTCTCCATCCCCACACTAGTGTAGGAGGTAAAAGCACTTCTGTTTGCACAGATGTTCCTGGTAGCACCAGAGTCTACCACTCATTTGCTCACATTTGTCATAAGGTTTATATGAGAAACGACCGCAATAATTGTATCTTCTCCTTTAGCTTAATTATCCTTAGGAGGATTGTCGTTTCTCATTCCACATCCACGCTGAGGTGCATGATGACTTTACTTTCCACAAAAAACAATTTTCTTTCTTGAATGTAAAGTGGGGTTAGATCCACTGGTTTCATACAGTCTCAACCCCTTTCTTATAGGTATGTACAAAATAATATGGGGACAAAATAATATTATACTTATACGTATGTACAAAATAATATGTGGACAAAATCATATTCTACTTATACGTATGTATAAAATAAAATAATATGTAGATCTAAGTCATGCACACGTAACTGTTAATCGTTCACTACCAAAACAAATCTCTCACAACATTAATACTCATGCATAATTCATATACTCATGAAGCATAATTCATTTTTCCTGTTTCATTGGTGTAATAAATCCGAAAAAGGAACCTGTGTTTGACACGTGTGCTCTATGGACAAGTTGCATGATGTATGCTGATAACATTTGATCTAAAAGTTTACCTTTCTTTCTTCATAATTATAATATGCAGTAATCAATTTCACATATGATTCACCTTTAACCCAATCACGTAATTTTTTTTTTCAATTAAAACCAATTACAGGGTCATTCACATAATTTATTCCTTTATTCAATTTTAGGAAAAACATAATTTAAAAATTATCATAAGAGAAAAATCATAAATCTAATAAGTATGGTTCTGATACCACATGTATTTTAATTTGTAGTTTTTATACGTTACTAATTCTATAAAACTACTCTTCACGTTTAGATTCTCTATTCTCACGTAATAGCATACATGAATCATAATCATATAATAACATATATGAATTGATTATCACATAATAACACACATGAATCATAATCAGAAGACTAACATTGATCCATGAGCACTTCATAATTCCCTTTCTTTCACTATCCAATATTCTAAAATTGTTGAAAGAAGTTGTTGATGTTCGTACTGTCAGTCATAAGTCCTTAAGATTGTTGTAAAAGCTGACAGAGACATGAACAAAATTTATTCCTGAGGCGTGTATAATCACTGCCCTTAAGGACTTATCCACGGTGTATTGTGCAAGTCCCCCAGGATACAACAGGAACTTCTCGAAATATCCGAGGATCTCATAAACTAGCAAGAAACTCTCAAAAGAGTAAATTAACCCAGGATCATAGAAATAAGATCAGAGATGAGAAGATGAGAGAGGTGTGTTTTGAAGAGTGTGAAGTGGTCTCTATTTATAAGAGAAAGTCTGTAGCAGTTATGGAAGACTTGGTAGTGGGTCTGTAACGTTCTCTGAAACAGTTTTTTGCAACATTCTCTAAAACAATCTTCTGTAACGTGTGAGAACACGTTCTCTGAAATGGTCTTCTACAACGTTCTCTGAAATAATCTTCTGGAACGTGTGTGAGAACACGTTCTCTGAAATAGTCTTCTGCAACGTATGAGAACACATTCTTTGAAACGGTCTTCTGCAACGTGTGAGAACACGTTCTCTTGTTTTGAAATACCCCTTAATTTACAACAGTGTGATGGTGCTGAAGCAATGCATGTGGTGTAAGAATTAATGGTTGAGTTCAAGAGGGGGGTGAATTGAACTTTAGAAATCTTTTTCGAAAAACACTATTTCTTTGTGGAAGAATGATTAATCTTTATTCAATCTTTTATTAGGCAGATTTGCTTTTAAACAAAGCAAGAATATAAACCAGAAATGAAAAGAGATAAAAGCAGAAATACAACACAAGAGTTTATACTGGTTCACTCTTCCCAAGAGCTACATCCAGTTTTTGACAAATCTGTCAAGTTCCACTAATACCAAGTGAAAATACAAACCAGTAGATACACACCAATCTACCCCAAGATCTACCTTACAACACCATAACATAGACTCTTGAAAAACCACCCAGCAACCAAACCCAATTGCTGTAACCAGTGCAAATTCAAACTCAATCTACACAATTAGAATTCGTACAAGTATATGAAAAGAATAAACCTGGACTGCAACTTTTACAATATAGAAGTCCAGAAGCAATTTTTCTAACTCTGAACTTTCTCTCTTGAAGATCTTTCAACAATCTTGATCAAAACGTCTTATGATATGAAATGTGTATGAATGCTCAGAAAAACACACGAATATGAGAGCTCCAAGATTGCTTTTAATCGATTTCCAATTTGTGTTTTTGAAAGAGAAATCAAAACTGTATTTATAGAGTAAAAGAGAGAAACTGACATTTTTAATCGATTTAAAATGATGTTTTAATCGATTGATTTTATTTAAAACTCTTTCAATCGGTTAATTCGAGCTTTTAATGGATTGAAACAGTTAGAAGAAAAATGGTAGCTCTCTGTTTCAACAGATTAAAATTTATTTCAACAGATTAAAAATATGAGATACTTTAAAATGAAAAATGAAAAATGATATCTCTCTGTTTCAACAGATTAAAATTGATTTCAACAGATTAAAAATCTGAGATACTTTTAAAATGAAAAATGGCTTAGAACATTTTAATCTATTGATTTATCAATTCAACAGATTAATACTATGAGACCCTTAATATGGAAAAACCATTAAGAACATTTTAATCTGTTGATTCTACGATTCAATCAATTAAAATATTGGCTGTATATATACTTTTTCTATTTTAAGTGATTTTAACATATTAAAAAACTTAGTATGTTCTTTCAAGGCTTAACGATTGATTTTTCATGCAGTAAGATAAATTCTATGAAATGCAACAACTATAGGCGCTTATCACAAGATATACTGAAATTATCAAGAGATTAAATTCTAAACCTATAACCTATCTACCTACAGACCCACAAACTAAACTTTATATGTCTTCATCAAATCCAACAATTGCTTCATGTGGCTGAAGGGGTGCGGTGAAGGTGGCTAAAGCGGTGTGGTGCAAGTGGCTGAAGCGGTGTTGTTGATTGAGTGTGTGTTGATTGATGGTGTCCTATTGATGTCCTATTGTTGTTGATTGTGTCACATGATTGTGTCACTGTTGATTGTGTCTTAACTGTTGCGATATTGCTGGTGGGTGTAGGTTCTGTGATGGTGTTCTATTCTGTTTTGTGATGGTGCTAAAGCAATGCAGGTGGTGGCTGAAGCGGTGCAGGTGGTGGTTGAAGCGGTGCAGGTGATGACAACTCATTTGTTAGTATTTTTTCTAGTTAGCTGAAAGGGTGCAGTGGTGGCTGAAGCAGTGCAAGTGATGATAACTCATTTGTTATTACTTTTTCTAGTTAATAAAATAGAATTAGATTATATTAGGTTCTTGTGTTGGCAAATTTTGGGTCATGTATATATATGATACATATTTAAATGTGTTAGGGTCATTATTTATTAAGCCAAATAATAAAGTGATCTAACTAAATTAAAGTTTTGGCTAAAGGCATATGTCATGAAAATAAAATTGTGTAGAGACCATAGAGCAATTTCTAATTTGATGAGGGGCCAAATTGGAAATACTAAAACTTAAGTAATTAACCTAATTCTGGTTATCTAAAGGGTCATGGTCCCCTTCTGAGAGCACACACACAGAACGTAAGTATCAGTCCCGTTCCTTTCTTTCTATCCCCATCAAGAGAGAAAATCAAGAGGGAAATACAGGTGCTCTTCAGGTGGAAGACCATAAGATCAATATAGTGCTCTACAAAGACATCATTGTTATGGCTAATTCAGGTACGCTTTCGCATTCAGTTTACAACATGTTTATCAGTATGGGATTATGTTTATGTTTGATTGTTAGAATCAAAATCAGGATTATTATTATTGTTATTGTTTTTCCAACAATTGGTATCAGAGCCGCCCATATTTGATTCATGTCTGTTTAATTTATAGAACCCTAATTATGAAAATTAGGATTAATTTTGTTTTAAACAATTCAGATTACCCAATTTTATGAACCCTAAGTGGAGGATAATCTTTAATTTTTGTGAACCCTAAAATTTAAATTTGGGGGTAACATCCCCAATCTGATTCTGCTTGCTGATGGAACCGTGGAGGAAGCTATGGATTCTTCTTCTTCTTCGTTTTTCACTTTTGTTTCAGCTTTAAGTTTCAAGTTTTACCGAGAAAGAAACAAGTGTTTCATATTTCAATTTTTCTTGTATTGGGTTCTCTCGTTCTTTTTTGAATCTTTTGTTTTTATTTAATTTTATGGGTTTGGAATTGGGGGTGGTGTTTGTGGAGTTCCCAACACGTAGAATCTTAGGTAAATGATGAATGTTTCCACATGTTTGGCTGTTATTATTTTATTGCCTCTATCCCCTAGGAATTTAAGGAAAATTTGATGTTAAATTAGGGTCCGAGTGATTACTCGTTTAATTCCCTTTTAGGGTTTAGAGCAAGTATGCTAAAGAGACTCGTAACTATCTCTCGTTTCATCCCTAGTGTGATTTTAGGAAGATGTTCATCCTTTATGTATTGGTGGAAAATGAGGCATTTTTTCATCCTTTGATTTTTTCAAATGAGGTGTTCATCCCTAATGAGATTCTAGGGAGGTGTTCATCCTTAGTAGAATTATAATGAGGTGATTCTCTTTTAAATTAGTTTGCAAATATTAAATATTTGGTTTTGTTATATAAATAAAATATTCAATTTTTGGTAGTTTAATATTTTTTGTGAGCAAATTGAGTCAAGAAGTCACCAAAGTAACTTCTCTTGAATTGGGCAGTTCATGAAAAATATTGAATGTTAGTGTTTGTGTATATTCATGCGAGTATTAGTCGGCCCAAAGGAAGATTAATATTTGGCCGAATTGCATACACATTTGTAATGATAAACATGTGATAATTATAAGGATTTGCTTTGTCGATGATAAATCAATCCAAAGACTGGTTTGTTGTTGGACGTGCTTTATTGTCAATGTTTGATTATTACAACAAGATACCTCTAGCAGTTAATATTACTCGTCCAAAGACTTGATATTGATGGTGCATTGGGTGTCTTGAGATGGGTTAAACCATTATTTGAATATATATTTTATTTATAATTTTTTTTATATAATGTGAGCATAATTAGTTTATTTCTTTTGTTCTAATCCAGCTACAATTGCTTCAGTATCTCGCCAATTTAAATTATGTTCCGATCCTCAAAAGTATGTTTCCTACTTTGGTCTGTTCTGAAGTCAGTTTAGCGTCAGTACCTAGTAACACTTGGTGGTTAGACTCAGGTGCAACTACTAACATCAGTGTTTCTATAAAGGGTTGCCTAAGCTACCTGAAGCCAATTGATTCTCGAAAGATGGATTTATGTTGGAGATGGCAAATCGGTAGAGGTGGAAACTATAAGTCATTTTAAATTATTATTAAGTACTCGATTTTTTATTTGGATTTGAAAGACACTTTTGTTATGCCGTCATTTAGACTGAATTTGGTTTCAGTTTCTTATTTGGACAAATTAGGTTATTTATGTTCATTTGGAAACAATAAGTTCAGCTTTGTCTTTTAATTCGGATATTGTTGGAACTGGTTCACTTTTAATTTATGATAATCAGTATTTACTTGATATTGTGGCCACCTATAATGAAACCCTTAATACGTAATCATGTGGTACTAAACATAAAATTGAAAATACTCACTCAAGTGCATTATGGTACAAGTGCTCAGGTAACATCAAATTGTAACGTTTGGGCTTGTGTTACACTCTTAAAGATATGGTAGAGAGTATGATTTGTCATTCCACCTTACTGGAATCACTTTGGGGAGAGACGCTAAATATGACAGCTTATATTCTAAACAGAGTACCAACTAAAGCATCTACCAAAACATCTTATGAGCTTTGGACTGGGCGACAACCTAGTCTGAAGCATTTCCATGTGTGGGGTTGTCCAGCTGAGGCAAGGCCTTATAAGCCAAATGAAAAGAAATTGGACTCCCGAACAGTAAGTAGTTATTTTATTGGTTATGCTGAAAGATCCAGGGGATATAAATTTTATGATCCCACATTAAAGACAATTTTTGAGACGGGAACTGCTACGTTTTTTGAGGATATTGAGTTTGGGGGGAAGAATAAATCAGGAACTTTGTCTTAGAGGAAGAATCGGTAACAATTCCAGAACCGATTCAAACAGTTACTTTTGATAAAGTAAGTTCGGAACCTCCACAATGCATTGTTAATGAACCTCTTACTCAAGATGATTTGGTTGTTCATGAAGAACAAACTCAAGATCCTCAAGAACCTGTGCATCATGAGCCAATAACTTTGCAGAGATCCACTAGAGAAAGAAGAAGTGCTATTTCGGATGATTACATGGTATTTCTTCAGGAACATGAAGATAATAATGGTATGATGGAAGATGACCCAGTTAACTTCCGTCAAGCCATGCAAGGTTCTAACTCTCGAAAAGTGGATTGAAGCAATGAAGGAGAAGTATAAGTCCATGCAAGACAATAAGGTTATTGGGAACTTGTCCCATTACTAGAAGGTATGAAACTCATTTGGCTTCAAGATGAATATTGTTGATGATTGTATGTATCACAAGTTTAAAGGGAGACAAGTTTAGTCTCAATCGAGTGCCCAAAGGGGAATTTGGAAATTGAGGAAATGCAAAAGATTCCCTATGCATCAGCTGTAGGGAGTTTGATGTATGCCCAAGTATGTACGCGTCCGTACATAGCATACATAGTTGGGGTTCTAGGCAGATATTTAAGCAATCCAGGAATAGACCATTGAAAAGCAGCAAAAAGGGTCATAAGATATTTAAAGAGAACAAAAGATTATATGCTCACATATAGGATGTCGACCAGCTGGAGATCGCCGTATTTTCTCGACTCATATTTTGCAGGATGTCAAGAATTTGTAGCATGCTATGAGGCATCAAATCATGGAATATGGCCGAGAAATTTTGTCACAGTGGCTGCAAATTGTGAAAGGCATTGAAAGACCACTTAAGTTATATTGTGACAATAAATCAGCTTGTATTGTTAAGGAAAGAGTACAAAGTGGACAGATTTCCATAGAACACTTAAGGACAAACTCCATGATAGCATATCCTCTAACTAAAGGACTTCCGCCCAAGGTCTTTCATGAGCATGTTGCTCACATGGGTGTTTTACAGTTTGAGGAATTTGTGGTTTAGTGGGAGTTAGTCATTTTCATATATTTTATGTTCTATGTTTAGTTTTATATATGTATACATTGTTTTTTTGGACATATTTGGTTATCTATAGATATGCGGTTTTCTTGTTCATTCATTACACTTTGTACATTAAGGTTATTGTATCAATCTCGATAAGTTAAAGTTTGGACCAGTTAAAAATAGACGTGTACAGATCACCTTCACGTAATTTTTCATGCTACACATTTCATGATGAATCCATGTCATTTGGTTATGTTAGGATGAGTAATCTTGTTGGTTTTAGTTGCGATGATGCAATGAAAAGCTGGTTTGGTTCTATATCCTGATATGATTAATGGACAGGACTTTTGGAATATGCTAAAGGAATATAATGACAATTTTGAGCTCATAAAGTCTAACACATTTGTAAGGTTGTAAAGACATATATATTTGTGACCAGTGGGAGATTGTTGGCAAATTTTGGGTCATGTATATATATGATACATATTTAAATGTGTTAGGGTCATTATTTATTAAGCCAAATAATAAAGTGATCTAACTAAATTAAAGTTTTGGCTAAAGGCATATGTCATGAAAATAAAATTGTGTAGAGACCATAGAGCAATTTCTAATTTGATGAGGGGCCAAATTGGAAATACTAAAACTTAAGTAATTAACCTAATTCTGGTTATCTAAAGGGTCATGGTCCCCTTCTGAGAGCACACACACAGAACGTAAGTATCAGTCCCGTTCCTTTCTTTCTATCCCCATCAAGAGAGAAAATCAAGAGGGAAATACAGGTGCTCTTTAGGTGGAAGACCATAAGATCAATATAGTGCTCTACAAAGACATCATCGTTATGGCTAATTCAGGTACGCTTTCGCATTCAGTTTACAGCATGTTTATCAGTATGGGATTATGTTTATGTTTGATTGTTAGAATCAAAATCAGGATTATTATTATTGTTATTGTTTTTCCAACATCTTGTTCTATTATATTAGATTAGGTTTGTATTTTTAGGGAAAAATATGCAAAATCACAAAAATATACTAATTTCTGTATATTTAACATGCTTTTTATATTACATCTGATTTCTTCACTAACCAGTTTTGACCTTTGCCTCTTCTTTGATTGTTTTCTTTTTGTACAGAACTTTGATTGGGCTGATTTTTTTTTTTTTTTTTGCATTGGAAACTGGATATGTTAAGTTTCAATTGGAACACAAATTTGACTATTTTTGGAGCTCGTAGCTATTTTTAATAAATTAGAGAAGATGGTTAGACGAAATAGAAGATCCTGTTGCAGAAGTGATACAAAAATTAATTATAATTAGATTTAGGACATGTTTGTAATTAGTTTTAATTATGGTTTAGTTAGTTTTAACTCTAGTTAACTCATTTGAACCTATAAATAAGGCATTTTCGTGTCGTTGTAACACACACTGAATTATATTCTTTAATTGATGTGAAACTAGTCCAAGTTCTCTCAATTGTGGTTCTTTCTCTTGCTTTCTCTTTAGTTTCAGTTTAGTTTTCTTTTTGTCTCTTTAGTTTCCAATTTTTCTGCTTTGTTTAATGTTCTTTTTGCTTTACTTTAGTTGTTCTTTCAATTCAATTCCGTTTTACATTTGTTTTACACGAATTTCTACTTTAATTCATCACATAATCATAGTTTGTTCGCAAAGTTGCTTCCAACTTTATTCTTCTTCATTGTTTTCATATTTTACATTATTTTGGCAGTGATTTGAGTGTGATTATTGTTGTTTTTCAAGCCTTAATCGATTCCTTATTCATTAAGGAGAAGAATTACGGCTCATTAGTCAATTTCACAAAGTTTTCATTTATTGTTTCGCTGGTCTTGTTGTTTTACCATTTTAATTTTGTTTTTGTTGTTTTGGCTTAATTTCTCCAATTTGATTGGTTAGAATGTTGTTCTTAGAAGTTGTTTCAAGTTCTTTTACTTTGTTTTAGAATTCAATTGGTTAAAATTCATTTTATGAGTATTTTTTGTTCGGTTTGTTCATAGCAATTTAGGAGTAGTTTTCAATTTAGGAATAACTTTTACATTTGATTGAATTTTTGTCTTTGATTTTGTAGAATTTATTCTTGATAATTCCTTGCTGTTTTTGCACAATTTAGACGTGTTAAACATTAGTTAATAGGCTTTTAAGTTTTTCAAACAATTAGAAGTTTGTTTCCAATTAATCTTTGCATTCGGTCATGAGTAGTTTCAAGTTTTTGTCCATTTGAATTCTTCAATTGTTCCAATTTGTTCTTATTGTATTTTTTGTCCATGATTTGATTCTGTTTCTAGTTTTTAGTGTTGTTTCAGATTATAGGCCTATTTCTTCTTCATTCTTTGTGTTCTAAAACATTTAGAAGCATTTCTAATTCTATTTAGCACTTAGTTTAATTATGTTTGAATTTTTTTCAGTTGCATATTTTAGGCAATTAAAGTCATAACATGTTCATATTCATAATTAACAAATATTTTAGTCTAATTGTATTTTTCAATTCGAATTTCTAGAGTTTTGTTGTAGTTTCTACATCATTTAATCATTTTTCAATTCTAATTGTGTGCTTAATCAATTTGGTTTCTAACTTTGATAATTGATTAATTTAGTTTCCATTAGATTTACAACATGTAAAATTTTCTAGCTAAATCAGTAACAAAATTCGTAACTACTTTTATTTTTTTTAATTCTAATATTTTTTATTCGATTCTTGATTTGTTTTTAGCATCTTAAGCATTTTTTTTACCAATTTGATTTTACCATTTAGTGTGTAATTCCAATTAAAGTTTTTACCAATTTTCATACAAAGTAATTTGACATATTTTAGTTTACTAGTTTAAAATTCCTTTTAGTTATTTACTTTTAATTTTTTTTTTACTTTTATAACTCAAAATCCCCACATATTTACTTAGTTTTGTTTTCCATTCAAATTACACACCATAAAAAGAACAATTTGTAATTTCACTCCTTGAATTGATACTTGGTTTACCTCTTAATACATTTTTGGGGAAACTAAATTTTGAAAACTTATGCAACTAAAAGTTTATTAGCAAGTGGTTGAAGCAGTGCAGGTGCTGGTGGCAGTGCAGGTGGTGGCTGAAGTGATGTCGGTGGCTGAAGCAGTGCAGGTGGTTGAAGTAGTGCATGTGGCTTAAACAGTGCATGTGGCTGAAGTAGTGCATGTGGTGGTGGTGGCTGAAGCAGTGCAAGTGCAAGTGGCTGAAGAAGCACGTGTTGGTATTTAGATTTTCATTTTCATTTTCATTTTTTTTAATCTATTTGTGGCTGAAGTAGTGCAGGTGGTGGCTGGCAGGGCGTGTTTGTATTTGAATTTTCATTTTTTTAATCTATTTGTGGCTACAGTGGCGGTGTAGGTGGCTGAAGCGGTGCAGATGCAGGTGGTGGTGCAGGTGGCTAAAGCAGTGCAGGTGGCTAAAGCGGTGCAGGTGGCTTAAGAAACGCGTGTTGGTATTTAGATTTTCATTTTTATTTTTTTAATCTATTTGTGACTGAAGCATTATAGGTGGCTGAAGCAATGCATGTGGTGGCTCGCAGGGTGTGTTGGTATTTAGATTTTCATTTTCATTTTTTTTAATCTATTTGTGGTTAAAGCAGTGCATGTGCAGGTGGTGGCTGAAGCAGTGCTGGCAGGGTGGTGCAACAATTGGGGAAGCAGTGGACAAGAGAAAAGAATGTGTTCCCTACCCCTTTTTTAGTTTTTAATATTTAGATTTTCATTTTCATTTTTTTAATCTATTTGGTGTTTACAGTTGTCCATCTTTGATTAAGTTTTATAAGATAATTTGAATGTGAATTTATATTATCCTAAGAAAACATAATTAAAGATTTGAACATCGAAGTACTGCAAATATAAAATTGTGATTTGAACTAATAAAACATAATTAAAGATGTGAACACTGAAGTACTCCAAATATAAAATTTTATTAATTTGAAAAGTTGAAAAACTTAGAAGTGGACTTGTGGACTCAGGGATCCAATATTGTGATTGAAATATTGTGATTGAAAATTTAGAAGTGGGTTTGGAGACTTGTGATTTGAAAATTTGAAATACTTAGAAGTGGACTCGGGGATAAAATGTTGTGATTGAAAATTTAGAAGTGGGTTCGAAAACCTAGGGTTCGGGGACTAAATACAAAACTATGATTTGAGGTGTTGAAAGCTTGAAAATGGGAAGTAATGCATATAATTTAAACCCTTAAAAAGGGGCTCAAAGAGGTATTTAAACATTAAAAGTAATACATATAATTTAAACCTTATAAGAGGCATGGAAAGCTAACAACATGAATATAAGGGGCATGGGAAGCTAACAACATGAATATAAGGGGCATGGGAAACTACAACATGAATATAAGGGGCATGGGAAGCCAACAACATGAATATAAGGTATTGGCACGAGTTTGATTACTATGGGCACGAGGCTCGATATTAAAACCGTCTAGATAGATGAATTTTGAATGAAACAAAGGTTAAATAGGTATTTATTCTTAACTTAAACATGTAATACATGATATGTGTTTTACAAATAAGGTGCATGATATGTGATTCACAAATAAAGTATGATATGTAATGCATGATACGCAAATTCATGATGGGTGCATGATGTATGTACTTTTGACTAATGATTTTTGTTTTATTATTATATATATATATATATATATATATATTTCTTCTTTTTAAAACATCTTTTCTTATTATTTGTGACATTTTCTTACATATGTTTGACATTTGTGACATTTTCTTACATAGTTATAACAATCGCTTTTCATGGTTGATCAATAATAGCCAGCTCTTAGGATTTTCTTTATCATTGCATGTCCATTTACATGTTCCAAATGAACCCTCATGAACTTCTTCCATTATTTTCTTAGCTTCGACTATGTCAACACACCTAAGCAACATCATGTAATGATTTCTTTTATATAGCACATCACCATTAAAAAAAAAAATCTCATTGCCAACTTCCTCAATGTTTTCCTGTTATTTTCTGAAGTATTAGGAGGATATTTTCTAACTTTCAAGTAACCTTTGATGTCATAAAACCATGGTTTTTCATCTGACTCTTCCTGTATGGTTTGACAAGATGCTAGTTGCTCTTGATGATGTATTTTTTGTTAGAATCGCGCAGTGGAATGTTCGCGTTTAGGGACAAAAACCAAGAGGGTGGGTGAATTGGTTTCTTATAAAAAATTAGGATTTTGAAAATTTTCCCCAAATTTCACCGATTAAAATGCTTGTAAAGTAAAGAGATAAGGATAAGAAAATTACACAGATGTTTTATACTGGTTTGGATCAAAAGACCCTACGTCCAGTTGCTAATCACTCTAAAAGAGGATTAATGTTGTCACTATAATCACAGGTTATAACAAATTACAAATTGAAAAAGATAAGGAATAGAAAACACCTCTTTTGAGTCACACAAGAGATGAACACCTCCTTTGAATCCATAAAGGATGAATAACAGCTTTTCCTAGAAATGGCACAACACACAATCCACTAAGAAACTCACTCAGTGATTCTTATCGTTTCTAGCCCACACTAGGTTTTCAAAAGCCCCTTTTTCATCCCTTCACAAAGTCCTCTAGCAATCACAACTCTTAACTTTTGTATGAAAAAAGATTGTTTTTTTTTTTTTGCAGAAAGCCTTAGAGAACCTTAAGTAAAGAGAATAGGATTTGGGAAATAATGATTTTCGAAACTTGAAGTATTGGGAAAAGGGTTTTTGTAAATTGGTCCAAATTTGAAATTCAAAACTCATAACAAACGTAGATAATCAATTATCTTGAGTGATAATCGATTATTCCAGAACCATTTCACAGAGGAGAATTTTTGGACCAGGATAATCGATTATTTGGCTTGATAATCGATTATTCCAAAATTTTCAAACTGGGATAATCGATTATCAACCCATATAATCAACTATTTGTTAAGTGATAAAAAGTTGATATAATTATACCTTGAATTGTTATGAAACCACTTAATTATTGCTAATTCTAATCTATTTTTCTCCCTATATATGATGAATTCAAGAATACCTTGATACAAGAGTAAGGAGCATGATTGATAGCAAAATTGGAGTAAAACTGGAAAAAGGAAGAAGATTTTTAGCATGAAAGTCGCTCAAGCGGGATGGATTCTCGCTTGAGCGAATGTCAGTTATTCTTCTCTGGAACTCACTTGCTCAAGCGAGCTAAGACTCGCTCAAGCGAGCTAAGACTCGCTCAAGCGAATATCAGTTATTCTTCTCTGGAAGTGAGTCGCTCAAGCGCAGGAAAATTCGCTTGAGCGAATGTCAGTTATTCTTCTTTGGAAGTCAGTCGTTCAAGCGCAGGAAATTTCGCTTGAGCGAATAGTAGTTATTTGTCTCTAGAGTTAACTCGCTCAAGCGAGCGTTTTGTTGCTTGAGCGAAAACAAGCTACTTTCGCTTGAGCGAAATTTCTCGCTCGAGCGAAAGACGCGAAGCCCAAAATCCCAAATTTTTCCAATAAAAAAAGAAGATGTGTTTTGAGAAAAGTAAGCAGTCTTGGAGAAGAGGAAGCACACCTACTGTTAGGGTTTCGTCTAATCTTCATCAATTCTTCACTTCTTCATCAATTAGAGCATTGTAATGGCCAACATGAGTGACTAACTTCATTCTCTTAGGATTCAGTGCACTTCACTTGAACTCTTTTGTATCATGGTGATATTTTGAGATATTAATCTATGCTTTGATGTTGTTATTCTTATCCTTTATGCTTTGGAATGATTTATTCTTGGTTGTTTGATGTATGATTGGAAAATATATCTTAAACCCTAGATCACGGTAAGAATATTTGTTACGTTAATTGCTAGGAATTGAATGAATGTATCAATTGCTTAACACCCTAACCCTAATGCTGAAAAATCTCTTAATTGTGTGGGGAATCAACATTTATTAGGTTTTCTTATGAATTTCATGTGTGAGGAATCAACATGGATGAATTGAGTAGGTGACATCAACATTGTTAGGTTAATTGACATTCTTAATTGATATAACCATTACAAAAGAGGGATAAGGAAGGAAACTAATCCTAAGTACCTTTAATTGATATTTTCTCTACAATTTATAGTTTTTTGTCATTTAATTTCAATTCAACTCTTATTTGAAAAAAAAACAATCTGTTTTAATCCACTTAGTAAGCATATAATTGGGAATTTCCATTGAAACTGTTCCTCGTGGGATCGACTTTTATTTTATCGAAATATTATACTGCGATTGATAATTTGGTACGCTTGCTAATAATTCAACATTATTCCAGCAAGGTTTTCAGAAAACAAGTTTCAAAGCATGATAATCGATTATTCTGAGTGATAATCGATTATTACAGAATTGTTTTGATAAAAATGAACTTTCAGAGGATGGATTATGTGCTGGCTATCTTGGACTCTAGTTTTACAGACTCAAAAAGATAAAACAAAGTTATTACAAGTAAATACATATGATTATAAGTCTTTAAGTTCTCTGTTCTTGAATCATCATCAAAATCTTCAAGCTTCATATCTTTGTATGTTCAAAAATCTCCCCCTTTTTTATGATGATCAAAATTTTCTTTAAAGCCCTTTGTAATAACCTGTTTTACTGTCACAACTAACAAAACTATTAAACATACCAGGCAACATTATAATTGTTAAACATATCAGGCTTTAAAATATTTTCTCCCCCTATTTTGATTATTATCAAAAGAAATAAAAGCTCCCTCTCAACATGTAGAAAAGTAAACTCTCCCTTAAACAATGCAAACATAGAAATTTATTCAATAATGTACAAAATAAAAGAATAAGAAATGTTGAATAAATTTAAAATTCTTTACTCTCATCACTATTAAATTGGGCGTCAAATCTATCTTCTAAGTTACACACATGATCATCTACATCCGAGATTCGTTTATGATTTCTTGATGTCGTTCTTGAGATATATAGAAGAATTCTTGCATTCTCTTATTCATATCGAACAACATGTCTTCCATGGAAGGACAAGATGTAGAGTGAGTAGTAGAAGACGTTCCAGCAGCAGGAACATCAGCAATAGGCATGTCCTCATTATCAGAATCTTGAGCAACGTCAGCCATGTGAGGAGAATCATCTTTATGAACGTAAACTTCATTTACATTCACCATATGCAACTGAGTAAGCGTGTTGTCAAGCATTTTGTTAGAATTTAATGTCCAAGTTCATTGTTCCCCTTACCTTTGAAAGGTTGCTTCTCTTTAGCTTGCATGAACGTTGTAAATTTCTTGATCATAAGACTCATGTTTTCATCTTCTTCATTTTCAGAGTCTTCTTCCTCCTTCTTGTTTTTACTCTTTGAAATTTCGGTTTTGAAGGCAAAGTTTCTCTTTTGATGTTGGTATTCTTCATCGTTTAGCCTTCCAAGTTCAAGTTCATACTCTCTCAACTTTCCAAAGAGAGCCGTCATAGTCATCGTAGCAAGATTTTGTGACTCCGTGATGGTCATCACCTTTGGTTGTCATTTCCTATCCAAAAATTTAAGAATTTTTACATTTAATTCATCAGTATAAATTTTTTTTACAATATGTGTGAAACGTTTTTGAACGTTGAAAATCGATTCTCCTTGTTGCATTGGGAACATCTCATATTCTTGAATCAATGAGTTCTTCCTTGCTCTTTTAACATCATTGGTACCTTCATGGGTTACTCTTAACATTTCCCACATTTCTT